GATTAGAAACAGGCTTGTCTTTCTTTAATTTGATGTCTGACCTATGAGCATTAAAGCGAGTTCGTAAATTATCCTTAGTTTCTCCTACATATTGTTTGGGGCATTTCTTGCATGAAATTAAATATATTACATTCGAATGTTCACATGTTAGATGTTCCTGGATCGGGTACCTTTTATTCGTAGAGTTGCTTACAAAATAATGAGTTTCTGATATAAAGGGACATGTTTTGCATCTACTGGACAAACATGGAGCACTTCTTAAACCTGGAGGTACTTCGGCATAAAGTCTGTTTTTAGCTGCTATCTGTGCTAAGGTGGAATTTTTTATGTTTCGTAAAAATCGTTTAGAGTACCCACGCTCTTTCAGTTTTGAGAAAACAATCGTACAGGCTTGGTTGAAATCAGAAGATCTTGTACAAATTCGATGAAATCGTAAAAGTAATATTTTATAATAAATGAGTTACAGTCAATATTTTAGCCAAGTAATATTCTATAGTACTTGAGTTACAGTCAATATTTTAGCCAAGTAATATTCTATAGTACTTGAGTTACAGTCAATATTTTAGCTAAGTTATATTCTATAATACTTGAGTAACAGTCAATATTTTGGCTAAGTTATATCCTATAATACTTGATTTACAGTCAATATTATAGCCAAGTAATATTTTATAATAAATGAGTTACAGTCAATATTTTAGCCAAGTAATATTCTATAGTACTTGAGTTACAGTCAATATTTTAGCTAAGTTATATTCTATAATACTTGAGTTACAGTCAATATTTTAGCTAAGTTATATTCTATAATACTTGAGTAACAGTCAATATTTTGGCTAAGTTATATCCTATAATACTTGATTTACAGTCAATATTATAGCCAAGTAATATTTTATAATACTTGAGTTACAGTCAATATTTTAGCTAAGTTATATCTTATAATACTTGAGTTACAGTCAATATTTTAGCGAAGTAATATTCTATAATACTTGAGTTACAGTCAATATTTTAGGTAAGTTATATTCTGTTATACATGAGTTACAGTCAATATTTTGGCTAAGTAGTATTCTATAGTACTTGAGTTACAGTCAATATTTTGGCTAAGTATTCTATCATACTTTTGAGTTACAGCCACGATTCTTGACATTTTAGTACATGTATGTTTTTATTTTTCAGCTAGTTTTGAAAACCCAATAAAGAAATGTGGTATTGAAACTTTGTTGTTTTACCAAAAGTTGTTCCACATTGATGACGTTGACGATGATGATGTAGTAGAATATGACGATTTAGTCTCTGAAATTCAAAGATCTGATTCTAATAATGATCGTATTTGGACGTATGAAGAAGCACTGACAGACGTCGACTATGAAAATGTCACGGAAGAGCACTTTCTGTCATATGACCACAACGGAGACGGTCATATTTCAAGTCAAGATGCCTGGCTTGTTTTCGAGTTGCTACCAGGAACTGGAAATTACCTTAATTTGGAGAATTTCCTAATTATCCAAGCTACACGAGATAAAAAATCACAGGGACCAGAAATAGATATTAAAGCCTTTGTCCATGCCGTGAAAGATTTTAGAATCATCGATGTGGATGACGATTTCATTTTGACGAGGAAGGAATTTAGAATGAGATTCAAAAGCGCTGATAGGAATAAAGACGGGCAGTTGACGGGATCAGAAATAAGAAATCTTTTTCCAATGAGAAGCACCCCTCCACCAAATATCTGTGGAGATTGGAATGTCGACTGCTCACAAGATGACGCCATGGCGTTATTTGATTCAGCAGCTACGGAAAACGGGTCGCAACTTTCTGTTGATGAATATATTCGACATTTCGGTCCCTTGGTTAAAATTTAAGATGGTATATATAGAATCCAATTGTGTTTGACCAAACATTATGAAATAAAATACTTTCATTGAATCTTCCAAATCATTTCCTTCAAACGTATTTTAAGCCATAGAAGAGTAAAGATTCGCACGGAAGCGTATTAAGGCCATTCAATTTTTTTTTTAATTTTCAAGTTAGTAACTTGAATTTTCAAGTTAGTATGTTGAATTTTCAAGTTAGTATCTTGAATTTAGTATGTTGAATTTTCAAGTTAGTATGGAATTTTCAAGTTAGTATGTTGAATTTTCAAGTTAGTATGTTGAATTTTCAAGTTAGTATGTTGAATTTTCAAGTTAGTATCTCGAATTTTCAAGTCAGTATCTTGAATTTAGTAACTTGAATTTTCAAGTTAGTATGTTGAATTTTCAAGTTAGTATGTTGAATTTTCAAGTTAGTATGTTGAATTTTCAAGTTAGTATCTCGAATTTTCAAGTCAGTATCTTGAATTTT